TTTTCGATGGACACAACATCTTTATTTTATTTGTAATGTGGTGCTGAGGATCAAACCCGGGCTGCATGCATGCCAGGCGAGCGCGCTACCGCTTGAGCCACATCCCCAGCCCCAAGTATCCCTCTACTCTTAACAACTTCAATTTATATTTAAAGGGGAGAGAGGCATTCTTTTATACTATATCACAATCCATTGATCAAAACCAAGAAATCAACATTGATATAATACTGTTATCTAATCATATGCACATTCTGCCAATTGTCCTAATATTATCATTTATAGAAAATTGTCATCATCACCGTCACCAACATCATCATTATCATCATGGTCTGTAACCCAATCCAGTATCACTTGTTTTACTTTGTTGTTATGACTTGTGTTACTTAGTTGTTTAGTAAGTTCTAAATAGTCTGAACGTCTGGGTTCTTGCCCTGATGCTCAGACTATTTAGCCAGACACTGCTGCTTAACCTGAACATGAAAGGTGAAAACAAATTCAAAGGGAGAGGGAAAATGTGTTCTACACACAGGAAACAACAGTTAAGTCTCTTGGGGAACTAAACTAGCAGAAAGGCATTAGGATAGGATGGGGAGAGGTGTTAGGATGGTGAGAACTGAGACTGATCTTGTCCACCCTTTTTTCAGCATACTCAATAATATGAACTTATGCTGAGGATGGGAGGCCACATAAAGGCAATGTGTTAGTTCTTTGCCATGTGCCTATCTCCCACTATTGGATTCATTCTGATCTGGGCTGATCTCTATGGACTGTTTCACTGGGAATCCTTTGCTTTCTTATTAGACATGACCAGTGGGAGGCAAAGCAGGAGATCAGAAGGTAGGAGAGAGCGGTCACAGTATTTATTCTTCATGGTCCCTTGCTTATCAGCATAATTTTACAATAATTGTATTTTGTGGTTACCATTTCTGTTGAGTGGATTCTTTTTTTATGACCTCAAGCCTTTTCTGGATTCTGTTAAAAGATTCTCACCCTTTGCCCTTTTAGGCCTAGGGGTGGTAAGAGCTTCCCATTGTAGTTAGTCTCTGGGTACTTTACCATCTCCTGCTCTTTGCCTACCACTTCTGCAAATATCCTTTTTACTTTACTCTCCTAGTAAAATCTTTGTGTATGCCATATTTTTCTGGACAGAACTCAGTCTAATTAATATGAGCAATAGCAAAAGTAATGATGAATATGATTTTTTTAGAAAGGAACCAAGCTAAAAAATAAAAGAATATTAAAGCAAATTTCAAAATCTCACGTTTCAAAAAATGTTTAAAAAGTAAAAATGTTTAGCCATGGAGTTATTATAATAGAATTAATAGGAATAATGGAAAGCCAGTTTGTAAGAAGTGTTTTCCTTTCACTGATCTTTGAAGGTGACCTTGATAAGCCAGTCTAGTTCTTTAAAACCTCCCAGCCTGAGACAACTCAGTATGGTAGGGAGAATCTTGGTATGGTCACTGTATAAAAGAATTTGTCTAAGAGATGAAGAAGGAAAAATATCTTTTTGCAGCAAAAGTTACCCCTGGAGCAAGTCCAATTTAAAAAATTTTAAATGACAGGATTCTTAGTCCCAAACTAGATATAACTAACAAGTCACTCTACTCCTGTCAGGAAAGAATGCAGAACTGGGGCCAAGAATTTGGCTTCAGGGAGGTGAGAAACTTCAGGGATAGATCAAGAATCAGTTCAAGTTTAGATCTATGTCAGTTTTAATAAAGGAGTCTGGGAAACCTCAGCAGGGTGAGACTGGATTTATAGCCAATTTGAAACTCTTAAAGATCTAGAAGCAAAAGCAAGTTGAGTTTGCAAGACATATAGACAGTGGCTAGCCTGGGGAGTTTAAACTTGATCATCAGTGTGCCTGCTATTTTTTCCTGGTGCCAGTAAAATTGGTGTATTTTATCTTCTGCCTCCTCTGGTTATTACTGTGTTTCTTTAAATTATGAGAAAATAATATCACATAGCTGTTAGGAGACTTGTAGGAGCAATGGTCAGCTTATTCCAAGCTCCTACAGCCAACTGTGCATGTAGAATGAGTAAGAATTTTTGTTTGTCCAGAGAGAGAACTTTTTTCTTTCTGGATATTCTCATAAATCTTGCTTTATCACACATGAAATATATTCTTTCTTCTTTTCATCCATTCTCTTAGCATCTGATAACCTTTCCTTTCCTAGAATTATTACTCAGTGAGGAAGTATCATTACATATCTCTTTACAAGAATTCCTGAAGTTTATCATTGCTGGCATTTGTGATAAGCATTCTTAGTGACCACATACCAAATTCTTGGTACAAGCAGCTGCTTATGAAATAAGAGAGGAGGTTGAGAATTCCACTTGGGAGAGCATTCATTACCATCAAAATATTTGCAAATAAAGTTGTTCTTCATGTTGCATCGGTCATCATTCCACTGGAACTTGTAGGGGCCCCCAATGCCAGCAGGTGCTGAAGGCTGATGGTACATGACTACACAGACTTCACTACCACAGGAAGGCTCATCCACATACCAGTTCCTGTAGGAAAAGAATAAACAATAGAGGCAAGTGGATAAACATACCCCAAGACTTCCAAGCCTTTGTTTTCCCATCAGGTTCCACTGGGACACTAACATGATACTTGGCTTCAGAACATAATACACAGAGAGGAGGGATTGAAACACTGCCAATAAACAGAGCCACATACTTTCTAATATGGACATCACAATCAATCATCTGACATTTGCCACAACCTCTTTGCATGGAGGAATCTATTACCATATGATGTCTGCAAAGGAATTATGAGAAAAGGCAGCTAGCAGGGCTGCTCATTTCTTTTTTGCTTTTTGTTTTGTTTCCCTTTTTTAAGAGATCATACGCATTGAGAAGAGGCATAATATGTCTCATCCAAAACTTGCTCTGTTTCCATCTTTTTTTGCTTTTCATTAGCCATCACTGTATGACCCTCCAAAATATAGAGGCTGTTAAGTAAGGTAAGGGGTAGAGACATGGGAAGAAGGACCATTTGGTCTTTTTCAGTTTTTACATTTCCATGTGATAAGGCTTGTAAGCTTTTCAGCCTCCACTACCAGATGTTTTCTCTTTGCCTTCCGAGACCCCTGAAGGGGTGCATTAGCAGTTATCCAATAAAACCTGGAATTAAATGGTGCTGCCACCCAGTTGGATATGTGGGTGCCAGGTTAAAGACCAAGATCCCATTGAGAGTCTAAATCTGAAGCACCCATCTCAGGTATTAACTCAGGGCTGAGCTTTGTAGTCTGCCTGATCACACCTGAGCTGCTTCCCTTCAGGGCTGGGTTCTTGTCCTAGTGCTCAGACTATTTAGCCAGACACTGCTGCTCTGCCTGGCTCTTGTCACAGTCCCTCCTGAGTAAAGAGACAGCTAAGAGAAGGAAGGAAGAAGGAAGGAAGGAAGGAAGGAAGGAAGAAAGGAAGGAAGGAAGGAAGGAAGGAAGGAAAGAAGGAAGGAAGGTCCTTTTGCTCTACTTGAATTTCCTGAACAATAGATAAGCTTGCAGTAAGCACTCCTTAGACATTATGCTGGACAGCTGGGGCCCCTGTCAGGAGCTAGGCTTTGCGCCTCTTTAGTTACCTCCATCCTCTTTTCCAAACCCTTTGATACTCCCTACTAGCCTTTACATTATTTCATTTCAGGGAGACATGGAACATTATACCTGAATGTAATTTTTGGATTTGAGTCAGTTTTCAAACTCATAACTAACTGATAGAGGGAAAGGCCAGGTTCCCAGGAAGAAGGACTCTGAAGTACCATGGCAGGCACATGTGATAATAATTTCCCCTGTTCTTTCCCCAAAGGAACCTCTGGCCATTTACTTAAGTAACCATACGCTGGGAGAGAGGAGTATATCCAAATATTACAAAGAACTGTTTGACACAAGGTATAAGTTGACACTGGTATTCAGACTTGAAGTGCTATTACCCATTTGGAGTGGGAACATATTGGGACCAGGTAGTAATAGAGGTCAGCTCACAGAAGGACCCAGCCCATAGTCATTGTCCCGGTCTCCTCATATATGAATTGAATAGACATATTGGTAGTTGGTATGGTTCCATGTTGGTTCCTTAGGCTATCATAGTGGAGCAGATGAAGTAGAAGCCTTTGAAACTGCACTCCTTCCCACCCCTCCCCCCTGAGTTACTAAATCAACAACCATATCTTTAATCCAGGGAAGATGGCAGAAAATGGTGCCCTCCTTAAAGACCTGGAGAATGCAGTGTGATGTGCCTCATCATATCCGTATTTAATTTACTAGTCTGACTCATGCAAAAATCAGGAAGATCTCTAAAACTGTAAGCCAAATAAACTTTTCCTCCTCTAAGTTGTTCTTGTCAGTATTTTGGTCATAGCAATGAAAAGCTGACTAGCACAATGATAGCACAAACTCAATCAAGGTGAAACCCTGATTTTAGCTGCTGTGCCATATGTGACATCTTTGCTAGAGCAGGCTGATATGCCGTTCAGTACTTCATATGCAGATCTGGTGAACACATTCTTTTCCATCTGGATCAGAAAGAATCTGGAATGGTTTGTGCTTATTGGCAATGGACAATAGTATACTTGTATGGTCTTGACTGAGGCTGCATTGATTTTTCCTACCCTCTGTTGTAATATGGTATGAAGAGGCCTGACTTCCTAGAAATCTTACAGAAAATCACACTGGTTCACTTTATTGCTGACATTATGCTAGTTGGATCAGATAAGTAAGAAGTAGGTACCACACTAGAGGTATTATTAAGACTCATGTTCTCCAGAGGGTTAGAGATAAACCCTGTGAATGAATATTCAGGAACTTGCCACTTCATTAAAATGTGTAGGGATCTAGTGATCTAGACAATGCCAGAGCATACTTTCAAATAAAAGAACAAACTATTAATAATTTTAGGAAGTAAATTTTATACTTAGCAGGCCTCTTTGGGTTCCAGAGGCAGCATATTTTACACCTAGGAGTACTGCTTTGTGGAGTACTGGAATTTGAGGTGTACTGAAATACCAGTGGTGGGAAACATATTCCCATATAGAATTCATGACAACCCTAATGACAGAATCACATTGCAGATTCCTTGGGTTATATAGCAAAGTCATATCATCTGTAGCCGAGAACTAGTCACCTTTTGAAAAGCAACTGCTACTTTTTTTTTTTTTTACTAAGCAAGGACCACCAAACAAGAGACCATGCAGTCTGATCTGCCCATTATGAGCTAGGTATTATCAGACACATCTTATCACAACTCAGGTAGGTTAGAATCAATCCGTTTTAAGGTGGAAGAGGTATATCTATGACCAAAGGGGTGCTATATGAATAGTTAGAGCAGACTGCCATGATATCTACCACTGTTGTTCCAAAGCCTCTGCCTCAGCTCACACTTATGGTGCATGAGAAGTTCCTTATGGCTAGCTGATACAGGCAGCCTGAGCTTGGTTCATGAAGGTCAGTTAAGTATGAGTGAAGAAGCCAGAATGGACAGCAGCTGAACTGCAGCTCCACTTGGAGGTGGCCTTGAAAGTCAGTGTGCTAGGGGGACACTCTCTCATTGGACATTGCTTTAGTTCATGCACCTAGTTAACCTCTTTGTACGGAAATATAAGTTATGGAAGATTAGAATACATAAAGACTCAGGGGAAAAGCAAACAGCATGGTCAGCTGATAAGAATCTAAAGGGAAAAAGACTGGAAGACTGGGGACAAGGACTTCCTGAATAGAATGATCCATATCACTGGGCATAAAATATGATAATTTTCTATCACACGTGAAAGCATACCAGGGAGCATCTATCATATAAGAGGCACTGAACAGCCAAGGAGACAAATGACTCATTCAGGTAATGCCAGCCAGCTGGTTGTCAGTCACCCTAGTACTAGCACACTAGATATGCAAATATAGTAACAATGGAGGCAGAATGGAGGCTATGCACGGATTCTACAGATTGGATCCCACTAATCAAGACTGATCTGGCTACTACTACTGCCAAATGTCCAGCCTTCCAGCAACAGAGGACAATGCTGTGTCTTTGTCATAGCATCAGTACTTGAGGTGATCAACATGTCACCTGGTGGCAAGTTTACTACATTGGATCCCTGAAAGGGACAATGATTCATTTTGGTAGGAACAGACACACAATCTAGGCATGAGTTTGCCTTTTCTGCCCAAGAACCTTAGTCAGCACCACTATTCAAAAGTGTACATAATGTTTAATCTATCAAAACAGGATCCCAAATAACATCTCATCAGACAAAGGCTCCTACTTTATAGCAAAGAAGGTGTGGAAGTAAGTACCTGGCTATGGGAGTCACTTGTCAGATCACATATTGCACCATCTTGAAGGTGCTAGCTTGATAGAGTGATGGAGAATAGCTTGTTGAAAACTTAGCTGAAGTACCAGCTTAGAGGCAATACTTTGGGGGCAGGGCATCATCCAAAAAGAAGTACATTTTAAATCAATGATTTATAAACTTCTGTGCCTCCACTAGTAGAATACATGGGTCTGGGAACCAAGGGAAGAAAGTGGGAGTCCCATCATTGATAATGGCTCACTGAGGGAATTTGTACTTCTTGTCTCTGCAATGCTGGGCTTTGGGAGTTTAGAGATCCTTAGTTTCCAGAGGGGAATAGTTCTTCTAGAAGACAGAGTAAGTCTCATTGAGCTATGAGTCACTGGTTGCCTCTTGGACATTTGGGGTCCTTGTGTCCAGGAACAAATAGACAAGAAGTGATGTCATTCTCTTGGCAGGAGGTAGTTGACTCTAATCATCAGGAGGAGGTAGGTTTGCTATTATATATTATGGACAGGGTGAAGACTCTTAGGTTATCTACTTGGGTATCTTTTTGTACTTACTTGCCCAATTTTGATGGCCAATGGAAAAGTCTGTTAACTTCACCCTGAGAAGTGCATGGTAACTAGGGCCTAACACTATTCAGAGATGAGGATTTGGGTCATGCCACAATGTCAGTTATTGACAGCAGCAGAGGGTGGGGGAATCTGGACTGGATAGCAGAGGAGGGAGATTGATAAGTCAGTCATGACCTTGGGACCAGCTACAGTGATGTGAAGAGTAATAACCTTCTACTCTTCCTACTAACCATCATCTTTTAAGTGCTTTTTCTTTCAGGAAGAGAAGTCCATAATGCTATTGGAGGAGCTACTCTCAGAACTTATATGAAGTTCAGGAACATGACTAGCATAAAGAGTTGTGATGGAGGCTACCTACATACTGTTTTAAATGTAACAGGTAATTTTAAAAATCTTTACTTTCAATTAATAATGACTTTAAACTTTTTTCTTATATGATTGTACACCAATTAGATTTTCTATTTTGTGAACTATCTGCTCAGGTCTTTTGCTTCTCTATCCTTTTGGGCCTTAGTGTTTACTACTTATATAAACTATCATGAAAATATATTAATTCTGTTAGAAATTTTACAGTCCTATGTCTGTCTCTGAATTTTGATGTTTTTAAAATTTTTAACAATGTCACTGCATTTATAGGGAGGGATGATGGCAATGTCATAGTGTCTTGGTGGGGTGTATGAGAGCATCAGTGTCTCGATGCTGAGGGTTTAGGAGGGTCCTACAAACTGTAGTCTTCCCAAAGATCCACTCTTCGCCAATCTGTAGAGTTATGTCTTGGTTCTGATTTTCTGACCATTATCATAGTTCGGTGTAGTCCACAGTCCTATTCTGGATTTCAACTCTATGGACCTTCAGTCTCTTAATGGGAGTTCTAGCTATAGCCAGATATCTAGCCAAAAGGACAGACTGACTTTAAGGGATAGTTGACTCTAATCATCAGGAGAAGGGTAGGTTTGCTGTAACATATTAAGGACAGGCGTTATGTGTTCTTTGACATAATGCTGATGGGATTGCCCACCTGAGTAGAACTCTTTGAACATCCATGGGGACCAAGTCAAGGCTAAATTCACCACTTTCACCACACTGTCCTGGTCAATGGCTCTTCAGGTGTTACTACCCCCAGGCCTCTGTCTGGCTGGGTCTCCTCTACTTCCTCAAGGATCTGGCACTGTGAATCCAGCCTGTCTCTTTCCTGAGTTATGTCAAAGAAGTCAGCTCCACATACTTACCTAAATTTTGACATGCTGCCATCAGTCCAAGCATAAAGGTCTTGGCAGGCTGTGCTGTTGCTTCTCTTCTCTTCATGCCTTCTGAGTCCAATCCAGAAATCACCATCAGATGCTGAGAGGTTTTCAATAAACTTTTCTATCAATCTCTGCTCATCTCCAGATTCGATGCTGACTAGGTGGCCCCCATCCCTCCTGCAGGCTTCTTTGGCTTCCTCAAAGTTCAGTCTTCGAGAAGCATCATGGAGATAAATGACTTTATAACAAGGCCTCTGTGTCCCTCCCCGGCAAACCAGCTGCCCTAGGGATAAAAGAAGGCAACCTGTTTCAGTGTACCAAAAATGTATACAAGAAGAGCAAGGAGCCTCAGAGGCATCAGAATGGAGCTACTTCTGGACAGAATTATGATTACTTATCATCAGAAGGTTATGTCAGAGTTCTTAGAGAAAATTAATACTCCTTCCAACATGGAGTTGGGGTGATTTAAACTCTGATGCTCAGATTATGCAAGGACACATGTTTTGTTTGCTCAGTTATAGATTCTTGAAAAGCAGACATTTTTATCTTTTAAGGGAAGTTGATAAAGATTTATGGCTTAAGAATTATAAATAACAATTTTATGCTTTTAGGAAATCTCAGGGGAGAGTGTATAAGATAAGTATCTCTGTTGAGTGATTCCTTCAGGTAAGAGAGTTGTTCTGAAGTCAGACATGGACTCCTCTACCCTGAAACCTTCTGCCTATGTGCAGCAGAACTAATTTGCTCAGTCTCTGATGTGGGCTGAAGCTAAGTACATGATATCTGTGGGGTTTTCTATTACTGACAGTTCCCTGACCTAAAGACAATAGCTAAGATTTACTGAACTTTTCCTGTGTGCTATCAACTGTGGTAAGGGCTTTACATTTATATATAGACTTTATCTCATTTAACCCTCATAACAGTACCCTGATGTAGATGTTGTTAATGTGCCATTTTACAAATGAGAAAATTGAGTCTCAGAGAAATTGAGTAATCTGACTAAGGTCACATAGCTTATCATCAGTATTGTCCAAGTCAGGACCCAGATCTGATTACAAAGTCAAGCCAGTACCTCTCAATTAGACTGCTCATTCCTCACTCCACCCGGGGCTTGGGTTGCTTTGGGAGTCTACTAGTGCATCTCATATAACTGACACCTGAAGGGCTAAAGACTCCGTCAGACAAATGGATGGAATTCTACTGAGAAGCAAGTAGCAAATTATTCCTCAGCACACATTGCCCTTCCTTGTGTCTGGGTGATTGAAGCCTTGCTGCAACAAAACCTCAGCTTCATTACTCATTTGTTTGTTTTAAAATTTTTTGTCTTTTTTTTCTTTAATTCATCCTCCTTTGTTCAACCAACATGTATTGAGTGTACCTTTCGATTAGCACTGTTCTAGGTGCTGGAAATACAGAAAAAAATGCCAATTCCTAGCTCAGGAGAGAACATGGCTTAAGTCTCTGGATCTAAATTATACAAAATGAAAACCACATTTCAACAAAGAGAGTAGTCCCTGCAATGACAGAGCCAAATTGTGGGCTGTGGGTATAATGAATTGCTACCACAGAGTAGGGGTAAAGGATTTTATTTGGGGACCTCTTCCCAGACCTTCTGGAATGCTCTTGTTTCCCCAACTTGTTTTGCAGTGCTGCAGAGAGCCAGATAGCTTTCATTATTCCTAATACTGTCCAGAATGCAGGGCAAAGGCTGCAGACAGTTAACTACATTATTAGTGCTAAATGGAAAAGAGCACATAAAGATGATTCAGAAAGCGGCAGTGAATTTTTATTTTCTATTTCTCTTCTCATTGCTTTTATAAAGAAATTCTCAAAAAGCAACAAGTTAGAAGAGTCTGGCACTTTCCCCCTTTTCCTTCCTTCCTTTTTTCCTTCCTTCCTTCCTTCCTCCTCTTCTTCCTCCTCCTCCTCCTTCTTCTCCTTCTTCTTCTTTTTTTTTTTTTTGGTTATTGCTGCTAAATAGAGAAGCTCTCACTGGACGGGTCCACCAGCAAATTAAAAGGGCTCTTTTGACATTGATGTTTTCACCAAGCAGGTGTTTCAGAGAGGCTGTGACAGCAGCCAGACTGCCTGGAAAGAAGACTGGGCCAGCCAAGCCTCTATGATTCCTTAAAGGGGGCTCCAAATCAGGCAGCAAACGGAAGGCAAATGAGCCACTAGGAACACCCCAACCTTGCCACCAGCATAACTGTAAATTGGAGTTGAATTTACTGGCAGCCCTCATTTTTCCATGCTAGATTGTCAAGAGAAAATGTAACACCTTAATCAAATTTCCTGTATGGTCCAGCCTGGCCACACATCCCAACCCTGCAGTGAGTGCCAGAGAGGGCCAGAGCTGGAAAGAGGCGGAGGGCCCATCTGGTTCCCCTGCCTTCAGGAAGTGTCTTTCTTTTCTCATTTGCAGGAAGGGGAAGAGTAGGCGGGTCTTCTACCCACCCCTATCAACTACTGAGCTCCTGCAGTCCTAACCCAAGCAGCTCAACTCAGTTACTCTCCCCATTTACTGCCCCGCACTACACCCCATCTTGAAGTCAACCCTAGACGGCTAAATCAGTTCCACAAACTGGGATACCCCCGAGGAAGAGGTTGCCATTCTTCCTCCTCCCTCCCGTTGGCCAAGCCGTCGACGCCCAGCACAGGAAAAAAGGGCACCAGTATTCGCCCTCTCCCCTCCCGCCACACGCAGAACAACTGGAAGAGGCAAAAAGCAGAGCACTGTACCTCCTCTGGGGTCCGAATCCGAGGCTGCTGTGGACACGACACAAGGAAGGAAGCAGACAGAGAGTCATTCCCCAGAGGCAGACGGGGCTGGTCCCACGCTAACTAAGCAGCTTTCCCGATCTCTAAGCGCTCCTATTCCAGCTGCTGGAGCCTGCCATCCTCCCCACAGAGAAGACCGGGAATAACTGGCAAGGTTCCCACAGCACCGCGGATCCAGGATCTCCACCCCGCCGTCTGCGTGGCGGCCTTCTCGAGTGGGAGGTAAAGGGGGTTGGTGAGCTTGCTCCGTGTGGGGTTTTAGGAACTATAGAGCCGTGCTCTACGGAGCTGGCTGAGCTGGAGGGGCACCCGCTGAGCGGGTAGTCCACTGCCCCACCCAACCTAGTTCTCAGACCCACTAGGGTAACCCTCGGCGGGGAATAGACTTCCAGCATTACAGGACACTGAATGGCCCCAGGAACCGGTCCCGATCCCAGCTGCGGAGCGATTGCTCTCTGGAAGCAGGAGGTTCTGAAGGCTGGGCCGGGGAGTGCAGCGGGGAACGCCTCCCTCCCCAATCCTTGCAGACTGCTGGGGTGCGGACTGTCCCGGCAAGAGCTCTCGCCCCAGCGCATGCACTCACCGCTCAGAAGGCGACTTTTCACGCCCCGTGGCCCCGCCAACAGCACCGCCAGCAGCACAGCCTGCAGAGCCGCTCCTGGCTGCATGTTTCCACTCTGGGTGATGCGTCTTGGGACCCCGGGCGCAACAGTGGTAGAGCAGTCTGACTGGCGAAGGCGTGCGCGACAATTGCAATCGTGGTAGTAGCATTTCCCGAGGACCGACGGACCTGGCTCTGAGAGAGGAAAGGAGGGCTCAGAGTCAGTTGATCACCCCTCCGCCCCCCGGGGACGTCACTGCGGGAGGGCAGCCCCACCAGTTGTCCCGCCCCCGACCTCCTCTTCCAGAGTAGTAGGCGCCAGAAATACTGCCCGCCAGGGGGTAGCTAGCCACTGAGAGGGCCAGATCACCACCTCTCTAAGCTTCCCAGGGAGATCCTGAGTTTGCCTAGGACGCAGGGTGCAGGAGTGAGTGGCTTTTCTGAAATAGGATGAAAGGTGCAGTGTGGCTAAAAATCGTTCCATATGTAGTCCTTACTCTCTAGGGCCAGAGCCAGCTTCTCTTAGCTCTGTGGAGTGGGCCAAAGGCAGAGGCAGGGCTCATTATACCTGAGGCTCAGTAGGCCAATCCCAGCCCTCAGGGATACACCCTGGAAAGGAAGGGTGGCTGTGGCGAATGGATGCTCAAGCAGGCAATGTGTCCACTGGTCAGAAAAGTTAGGGGACCTACCATGGATTACCTCCACAGAAGGTGGCAGAGCTGATCTGGCTGAGAGGAGAGTAGTTTCCATCAGAAGCCAAAGAGTGTCCCAGATCTCAGCAGGAAAATGATTCTGCTTCACATTGGGAGGTGGGGATGGTGGATATGGAATCCGGCCTTGGGCTGGTAGCAGGAGATTCCCCACTTTAAGAAAGAATGACCCTACTCCCTCTGGAAGAGTTTCCCTAAAAACTTTGTCTTCCATGTGTATTTGAGCTTCTAAACTCCCCCAATAGTTGTGTTTTACAGTGGCTTCTTATAGTAAAAAAAGATGTTTAACAATGTCAAAGTAAGCCTCCTACCCAAAACTAAGGCACTAAATAGCAGATAGTGGGTCTAGGTTCTTTGCAGTTTGCTCACAACATGCTGTTTTGAAGCACAGAAGAAGCCTTACCTGGGCCATGAACTTCTGGATTTTGGTCCCAGTTTGCTTCTATTTCCCTACTCATCCTGATTTTCAGAACAGCAGTCAAAGAAAGCAATAATGCTTTTCAGGCTTTGAGCCACTACAATTCTAAACAATTCTGGATCAAGCTTGGAGTATTTCAGCATCAGTAGAGAACATGGGAAAGTTGTGTAATTGTGGAAAACAGCATCATTAGCAGGATAACACTGACCCTTATGGCAAGTTCATTTATAGCCCTTCTCTATGTCCTGATTAGAACATTTCAGATCCAACACACATCCTTACTAGAAACTCTTGGTTATCTAATCAATCAAAGAAAGAAATGTTATGGTGGAAAGAAGCACTAGAAGTGGCATCTGATGCTCTGTTTTGAATCTTGCTTCTCTTTAATATCTCTGTGGCCTTTGGGAAGTTCTTTTGCCTAAGTTTCATTGAATTCTTGGTAATATTAGTTACGGGTTAAAAGTTTTGTGAGGATTTGGCAAGGCAAATATGCATGTGAATGTGCAGATAGATGGAAACTTAATGTCACTTGGGAAGGATTTATTTCCAATATTACAGCATTTTTTTTTTACAACTTAAAGAAACTATCATTTTGCTCCAAATAATTGTGTCCTGAGTCTTCCCTTTGATAACCTCACTGTTTTAGTCAGCTTTTTCACTGCTGTGGTTAAAACACCTAACAAGAACAATTTTAGAGGAGGAAAAGTTTATTTGGGGGTTCATTGTTTCAGAGATCTCAGTCCATAGACAGCCAGCTCCATACCTCAGGGCTTCAGGTGAGGTAGAACATCATGGTGGAAGAGTGTGGCAAAGGGAAGGGGCTCATATGATGATCAGGAAGGGGGGGAGAGAGAAGGGGGACTCCACTCAGCAGATATAAAATATATACCCTAAAGGCATGCCCCCAATGCCCACCCTACCTGTCTTCAGTTACCACTCAATTAATCCTTATCAGGGGTTTAACTCACTTATTGGGTTAAGGTTCCCATAAATCAATCATTTCACTTCTAAGCCTTCTTGCATTGTCTCATCACACATAAACTTTTGGAGGACACCTTATATACAAACCGTAACACTGACTTTGGTCCAAATTGAACATTGTTATGGTTTACAGTCAACCAAGTGTGGTATATTATAATAATGACTTTAGTTTTTCACATTTCCCACTACACATACCCTTTACCCTGACATTATAGTTTCCCTTACTAAAGAGGCAGAGGATTCCCTTGATTTTGCGTGTAACCATGTATTTGACTTCTTTGGCCAAAAGAACCAGCCAGAACTTTCTGAGTGTAGGCCAGTAAAAGCTTCACATATTTTTATTTGTTCTCTTTCTTCTCTACACTTTGTTGTAGGCACATACCTCAGATATCCTACTGGTCTACAAACATGGAGCAGAGCTGCCTCAGTCAGTTGATAGATTTGTAGTGTGACAAAACTGCTCTAGGTGCTGTAACCTGAAGTAGGGCTGTCTGACTAAGCCCAGACCAGCCAGATCCCAGCTGACCTGCAAGTATGGAATTGTTTTAGATCTCTTTGTTATGTAGTATTGTCGTAGCAATAGCTAACCATCACAATCTGGCCATATAGGAAGGAAGGCTGGCCATATGGAAAGGAATGCTCACAAAGTGGAATTTTTCTTGATAAAGTTATCTTGGCCCAGAGATCAATCCTTACTCCAACTAGCTCAAACATAATTTAAGATACTATAGGTTGAGTATCCCTTATCCAAAACTGCTTGAGACCAGAAGTGTTTTGAATTTCAGATTTTTTTCATACTTTGGGATATTTGCACATATATAATGATATATATTTGGGTCAGGACCAAGCCAAAACACATGGTCTCAAGGTAGTTTTATACAATATTTTTAGTGTACCTCCACCTCAACAGCAAACCCCTTATAAGGTCAATTGCAGAATTTTCCACTTGTGGCATCATGTCAGTACTCAAAAACATGTGGATTTTGGAGGATTCCTACTTTCAGATTGTTGGATTAGGGATGCTGAACTTGTACTATAATTACACACTGAGAAATGTAACTGTCAGGTAAACTGATGTTTATGTTGACCTGTTGAGCATATATTCTTCCATTGGATAGAAAAGATGTCTCAGTGAACATGGAATCAGAACAAAGGGACTTATAATTAAAAAGTTTAGGCTTTGGGGCTAGGATTGTGGCTCAGTGATAGAGTGCCTGCCTTGCATGTGTGAGGCACTGGGTTCTATCCTCAACACCACATAAAAATAAATAAATAAAATAAAGGTATTTGTGTCCATCTACAACTAAAAATACATTTTTAAAAATTTAGGCATTGATGGTTTGCTCTGTTTATCTTCACAGTAGAGATCTGACATCTGACATGGTACCTTTTATTCTTGATGGTGCTGGTATGGGATTGTCAATTTATAATTTTTAAAATTTCTCCTGTCTAAGCCCAATTTTTAAAAATTTTTGTTCTACACATTTTTCTCTGGTATAGTTTGGATCTGGAATGTCCCCCAGAGTCTCAGATGTAGAAGGCTTGGTTCCCAAGTCAGCAATGTTCAGAGGTGGGGCTTTTGGGAAGCTATTGGATCATGAGGACTCTGACCTCATCAGTGGATTAGTCCACTGATAGCAGAATGGACTACTATGAGGTGGGAACTAATGGAGAAGTAGGTCACTGGGGGTATGTCCTAAAACTTATTTCTGGTGCCCAGCCTTCCCCAGCCTCTGTGCTTTCTTTCTGCCATGAGCTGAGCAGCTGCCTTCTTCTGCTACAACCTTCTGCCATGATGTTCTGCCTCACCTCAAGCCCAAGGCAATGGAACCAACTGACCATGAACTGAAACCTCTGAAACAATAAACCAAAGTTATTTATGTAAGGTGTTTTAGTCATAGTAACAAAAAGGTGACTAATACATTGTTCAAATAGTGATGTGCCAGAAAATTGCTGTTATTCTCCTCTACTTTTTTTTTGCTTTTTAGCCATAGAGTCCTTGAATTTTAAGTAGGCAGATACTCCTCCCCTCATCTAAAGATTTATTTCCAGCCTCCTTTGCAACTTGGTGTTTTGTGGATAATGGCTGCATCTTAGAGAGGTTATGCCCAGGACTCTGAAGTGAATGATGGTTCTAAATAGAACTTCAAACATGGGCGGTGGGGGCAGAGGTAGAATGTACAACCCTGAGTTGGACTGCCATTTGCACAATGCAGAAGAGACAAAATCTTAACTGTTTCTTTTCTAGTATACACCAAAGTGAATAACTTTTGGTGAGTAGGTTGGCAATGGGGTTATATGCCTGTGTGTAAAACACAGGCAAGCTGAGCTGGTTACAGAACTAGAAGCAGTTCATTTCTGATTTCAAACATGTTCTAAAAATGGAATAAATCACATTTTGAAAAAGAGACTATTCTTTAAAACAAAAAGACTTTTAAGTTTTCAAGACTGCCCTTTCTCATCCTTTTTTTCTTTTCTTTCTTTGTTTTCCTTTTACTAATAGTCTACCAGTTGGAGCCATAAAGCCTCTGATTCTTGTTTATGTGATATCTACAATATAGATCAAATACAGAAATTCTGAAAATACTCTTCAAATAAAAATAGTAAATGGGACTTTGAGAATATGTAAGATGAGAAAGGTAATTATGATGTGATGTCAAACACAGTAGTATACAATAAAAAAATAGATACAAATACTCAATGACGTAAAATTTATGGAAGTCTACTTACTTAACTTTTATTTGTCCATTTTAACCCAAGTATTCAGTAACTGGTAAAATTTATGGAATTACACACATTTAACTCTTATTTCTTTATCTTTATTTCCTTTGACAAAGTTAGAAACTTTTTTAGTGATCCCAATGATCCTATGTAAGTGTAGGTTGTTTCAATGTGAAGATATGAGTGAGCCATCTTTTACTCTGTACCAAGCAGATCACCTCAAGGCTTTGACTTCTTCTTGGTCTTCTTTATCTGTTTCTGATACCTCTTCCCTGTTGGTAATAATATGGATCAATTTCTATACACAGAACTCTATCATTGTGAACATGATATAGCATGAAAACAACTTTGAAAATTTCCCCAATAAAAATTCACTGTCGTGGATTCTGAATATGCGTTAGGCTTTGCAACCAAGTGTAAAGTTATATCAGGAGAAATGGTTATTGTAAATGTGAAGTGTGATTTGAAGAGCATTGGAGAAGAACTACCCTAAATATATTTTGTTCACTCAAGAGCCAAATTCTTGAGATTTCATCATTGATAAGTGATTTCTTTGTATTAAACGTTGTTTCTTATACTTAGCCTTCTTAAAAGGAAATATTCCTGAGGTGGATAATAAACATATTGCTATTAAAACCTTTCTAGAAACACACTTTCCAGTTCTTTCCTTCTAATAGAAGGGCACCCAGATTACCCTAAAAAGATTTCTTAAAGGAGGGATGTTAAGGCTCTATCTTTGTAGGTAAGGGAGTTATGGGCAGAGAGGCAAGAATGGAGGGAGGAAAAAAGGGCAAAGTTAAAGTATTTTACAATTGTGTCTAAGATATTTACAAGATTTAAAAAGTGTGTATGAATCAGTGAATAATATAAAATATTGATTTCTAAATTAGCTAATACTGAACTGAATGACATGATATTTTTGTACTATTATATTTTTTTTGTACCAGGAATTGAACCCAGGGGTGCTTAACCACTGAGCCACATCTCCAGTCCTTTTTATGTTTTATTTTGAGACAGGGTCTTGCTAAGTTGCTGCAGCTGACTTTGAACTTGCAATCCTCCTGCCTCGGCCTCCCAGGCTGCTGGGATTACAGGTATGTGTCATCATGCTCTGCTTGAAATAAACAGTTTTTACAAATATTTTCTGAATTTCAACATGTATATTTTGTGCTAGGCACTTTTACCCAATGTTTCATAGAGCTTATAATTGTAGAAAAATATGTGAAATGTTAAGTTATTTAAGAGATCGTTGTCAGAAGAATGTATAGACAGTAACTCTTGGAAGTTCAGAGGAAGAAGATATCACTGTGAATGGAATGAAATTTAGCTTTAGGATGGAGAAGAGAATCAGTATACTCTAAAAGTAATTAAATAAACATTTAAAATTTTCAAATAAATATCTATCTAAAGCTTTGAAATAATGTTTTACTTTTAAGTGGGTCAACATGGGTAGTAGTAGGAAGTTCTGTAAAAATATGTGCAGAAACCCCATTATTATGTATAACTAGAATGTGTTAATAAAACAAAAAAAGAGAGAAAAAATAATACATGCAGAAATGGCATCCAACATGTCTGTTTGATGCAAAGTAGCAGTTTTCATCCATTATTTCAATCAGTTAAGTGTTTGATTGGGTTAGTTTTTCTTTACGCTTACAAGATAAGTCAAATCATCTGGCTAAATAGTAAGAAATTAAGTTGCTGAGTATCATGTAGACAATATAGCCAGATGATGATGATGATGATGATGATGATGATGATGATGATGATGATGATTTGTACTAGGGATTGAACTCAGGGGTGCTTAACCACTGAGCTACATTCCCCAGTCCTTTTTAGTTTTTGAGATAGGGTCTTGCTAAATTTCTTGGGCTTTGATAAATTGTTAAGGCTGGCTTTGAATTTGTGATCCTCCTGCCTCAGCCTACTGAACTGCAGGGATTAGAGGCATATACCACTTTGCCAGGCTCAGCCGGGTGATTAAAAGATTTTTTAAAAATGTATAGACATATTTATTCTTCTTCAAGGCTATTATGTTGATAACAGTAAAGGGAGTCAGCCTCAAGATCAGTGAGGTAAGAATCACAACTTTTTCTTTTTTTCTTTACTTTGAAAACTATTTATCTGTATTGTTTAACACCAATAACTATATGGTGGGATTCAAAGGTGTAAACCTAACATTATGTACTTTACACTAAACTTAGGAGCTGATGAAAAATTTTCTTCAGTCTTATTACTATTTCAGTCATAAACTATTTTTCTATACTATGGCTACATTACAACACCTTTCATATAAGAGTGGTAGTCAGGTCCCAGTAAATCAAATCCCTCTCTAGTCTTGACAAGATTCTGCCTTCCCATAGGCAAAAGAGAAAAAAGATTAAGCCAGCTTTTCTCCCCTGAATATAATATGAAAAATAAATATTTCTTTTAACGTTGAGTTAGCCACATTGGTTTTCAGTCCTAATACAAATATGGAGAGTTAAAAAAATTAGGGGTGCTATAATGATTAACTGATAGCTGATTTCCTTCAAACTCCTCTAGAACATGTTCCCGATCCATTCTAACATTTCTTCAGGGATAAAGTTATTAACCATCACTGAGAAGTTAAAGTCTTTTCTATATGAACTTAGTTTTAGCAACTTAAACAGGAGACTGGTGGGATTAGAGCTGGCTATCTAAAATCGGCTGGTACACTAAAGATGGCAGGGTGAGTGGGGTAGGGGCAGGTGGAGTTGGGAGAGCATGGTGGTAGGTGAACTCAACAGTCCAGGATGAGAAGGAAAGGACAGAGAGTGTGTGCAGAGAATGCAATCTGCTTTCCAGTTAGCACAAACTTATCCTTCCATGTTCCACAACTATACAAGCGGGCACAAAGGCTTTAATATCTACAAGGAGAAGAAAGTTTATTCAGGGAAAGAAAACCCTAACATAGTGTGGATGGGTTTTTAGAAGATGTTAAGGTATGGGACAAAGTAAGAAAAAAGAAGTGCTTCTCTAGACCATAAGTAAAAAGATGAGAATATTTTTTGCCAGAAGTAAACTTACTTTGCTTTGTGTTCTTTGGACTTGGGTTTATAAGGAAGGGAAATGAGTTCTTTCTAAAACAAAACAAAAATCAGATAGAAAAATTTTATTTTTTGCACTGACCAAAATATACTCAACTTGAAAAGAACCTAAGGTAAAAATAATCACAGAGTTCATAAAGACAAGCTTCTAAAATCTGGAAAATATCAGGTCAGAAATGTTCCATATACAGGAATTTGAGGTTGATTAAGTAGTGTGTGTTTGTGCCTCTGTAAGTTTATAGTGTATCATTATTACTTTTATAAAGATTATTATCATTTAGCATTTATTTTTTATGATCTAGGAAAGATCAATTATTGTAAACAAATATTAGCACTGCCATAGCCTATGTCAATATTGTATAGCATCATAATATGTGAACAAAAGATTCTACTGATAATAACATCTCATTTCTTATGCCAGGGGAGTTGCAAACTCTGGAGATAACTTTGGTTTATTAAGGATTGCCAGATTATTTAATTTCTATCTCTATATCCTGCTTCTCTTCAATATACAGAAGGCTCTAGACCACAGGCATCTAGATTCAAGGGATCCATTACAAGTCCTCTGAAAACTTGATGCAGCTCATCCTACAGATAGATTTATTTGAATGCTTCACTCTCAGTCTTACCGTGATCCTTTCTTCTCTTTGTTTTCTTAAGAGTTGGAGAATCTCATCTCTTTTTTTAGCCTATTTAAAAGGGGGGAAACATGGTAAGTCTTTCAATAAAGCCTTGTGCCTGAGGACAGTGGAATTCTTCCCCCTTTTTTTCCCCTGGTATTGGCAAAACTTTAAAATGCTTTTTCCCATAATAGATTTCTATTTTTTTTTCATTTGTAGCGCAATCCAGTTTTTATTCCAGAGGATTTTGCTTTGTGAAATAACTTGGGTTTGTTCTTAAATGGAGGCTTTTTTCTACACATGTTAACTAACTTTTATTAATACCTTGCTATACAAACTACACTAAGAACTTTATAGACATATCATTATTTTCTTCTAACAATTCAGAAATTTGATACTACTGTTACTCCAATTTACAGGTGAGGAAAGTAAACTGAAGGAAGGTTAAACAACTTAACCCAGCTATTAAATGGCAGACTGGATTTGATTGCAGCCCATCTGACAATGTCTAAGCTATTGACCACCAGGCTAAATTGCCACTAAATGGCAGCAAGATAATGGGATCGACAAACTCAAAACAGTATACCATGACCTAAGTCTACAGTAAAGATGGGGAATAAAATCTTCCAAATTATGCTATGTCCAAGTACAAATGTACCACAATGAATCCCCTCATATATATCTAGATACAACACACTAATTAAAATAATAATAATATTAATAATAATGATAGTGATAATAATAATAATAGAAAATCAGCAGAACAAGCAGATTGAAGGGGAGGGAGGACGGAAGAGAAAGGGAAGATGCTGGGGAATGAGTTTGATCAATTATGTCATATGCATGGATGAATATGGCATAATGAATCCATGGATATGTATAACTGTAATGTATTAATTAAAAAAAAAACTCCTGCCAACCTGTTTAGATAAAAGAAAAACAGGTTCTTAGTTGCTTGTATCTGGGAACAAAGCCTTATTCTACGATCTCTCCTTTTCCTGTGTTAGTTGTCAAGAAGTGCACATCTGCCAGTAAGTTTTTCTAAGTGTAAAAGTCAAAGTTAGTGCAGGTATGAAGATTTGTTAACATATAAACTATAAAACAGGCAAATATAGGTAAAATGAAATACAGTTCAGATCAAGGCTAGAAGAAATAAGAATAAGGTACAGATTTGTAATAGGCAGGGAAAAATTTTAAGTCATATATTCATCCAAATTTATTGAGTGCTGGGCTGTTTTCCTATGACTGCTTTAGCAAAGTAACAGAGTGGCTTAAACAACAGTTGTTGGGCTGGAGCTGGGGCTCAGCGGTAGAGAGCTTACCTTGCACATGAGAGACCCTGGGTTTGATCCTCAGCACCACATAAAAATAAATAAGTGAAATAAAGGTATTATGTCCAACTACAACTAAAAAATAAATATTAAAAAAAATCGTTGTCTCACAGTACTGGAGGATGTGCAGAGCAATGTTCTCTCTGAAACCTAGGGGGTTTATTTTATTTTATTTTTTTGTAGTTGCTGGCAGTTGCGGGCCACCTGTGATATTCCTTGGTTTGCATAATTCCAAGTGTGCCTTCTTCTTTGTGTCTCTTTCTTCACATGGCCATCTTCTTATGAGGACTCCAGTCATACAGAGTAGGAGCTCACCCTATTCCAGGGAAAGCCATGTGGCCCCCTACACCAACATCATCTCATCTTAACTAATTTAATCTGCAACAACTCTACTTCCAAATTAGGTCACAATTCTGAGGTACTGAAGGTTAGAAATTCAATATATCTTTTTGGGGAGGATATATTTCCACCCATGATAAGCACCTCTGATGTGACATTTCCATGCTGTGGGCAAATGAAACAATTCCTGTCTGTAAAGTGTCTTCAGACTTGTGGAGAAAAAGACAATGATTTCAAATGCTCCATGATGAGGTTAGTTTAGGGTGCAATTAAAGAAATGATAATCAGGAACCTTTCATTCAGACTAGATTGTGTAAGGATTGGGAGTAGAGACAAGGAAAAGATGCTCCAGAGGTGATGTCCATTCTTCAACATGAATATAGTAACTGCCAGATGTTGTTGGAAAGATAGGGAAGAAACCTCTTCAGATAGAGGAAAGCATGTGTGTGTGTGTGTGTGTGTGTACACACACACACACACACACACACACACACACACACACAAAGCCTGACAAGCTGCTGCATTGCTAATTCCTCAATGTGATTCCCCTAGTGCTGAAGGCTAAACTAAAAAGAAGCTAGAAACATCAGGAGAGATCCACTGAGAGACAGGAGAGGAAGGGCATAGGGCTTTGCCTCATTCTGTTCAAGTTGTATGGATCTTACCTTTTATGAGCCTACCAAATTTTAATTTTATTTATTTTGGGAGACAATTTCTACCATCTACTTAAATTCTAGGCATCATATATCACAGTTACTGAAGGAAAAAATTAAGAGTACTTTTTGAAAACTAAGTTTCACAATACTTGTTGAGACTGAATAATGTCTACCAATAAAGATATTTTCATTGTAGGTATTTAATATTAGTTTCTTTTCTAATTTTTCCATTACAAGTGTACTCAATTGGAATTAATTGCTTCCATACTATGATTACATGGCACTCTGGCTCTTGGTTATGGTATCCATCTTACTCTTCTTGCTTTATTTCTTAGTTGCTACATGTTTCTTTCAGAATCTTACTCATCTTTTTATCTTTCCTTAGAGCTCAGCAATGCCTAGTCTATGATGTGTAATGAATTTTTTTTGAATTGAATTGAGTCATGAAGTATGAATGGAACATTGTACTAATACATAATTATTAGTCAAGTAAAGAAAAGTTTTAGAAAATGAAATTAAATAGTTAGGTAAGTTTAGTTCTTAAAGTCTTCCATGAACACAACATGGTTATTGTCTGTGTAACTACTGGGAAGAATAGGCAAATTATATTTTCTGTATATTTATATAAGTGTGTTTATATATAAAATATACTATATATAAGTATATATAGAAAGTATGTATATATATATATATAGTTCTAATATAAAGAAAAAATATTTAGTCTCAAGATTCAAAAATAAAAGTAGAATAAAAAATATATTCATTCATTTTCCTCTTTGACTTCAGGCCCTTTTTTATTACAATCCATTTTTCTAGAATATAATGCTAGAACAAAGGTTTCAAATATGATTGATTTCTGCTTCCTGGACATGTTTCCTGGGAATGAATAACAAAACTACAGTAAACAATTGTGTTACCTGAACAAAGATGTGGATTAGTCTAAGAAATCTCTATCAGAAAAGCCAAATACCAGTCAATGTTAAGAGAAAATTCTTACAATTTACATTGTTAGTAGGGGCAAATAATTTACCTGTTAATTTCATCATAACAAAAGAATTATCATTTCTAATCATGGTTGTTTTGATTGATTTCATTAATGGAAATTTCTATTTATAAGACATTTTGATCATTTAATCCTTAAAATAATAATCTAAAGGAATCATAATGTGTATTTATTAATATTTGATATTTACTTATATTCATACATTTTATTTATATTATCTGTATTTATACTATTTCTGAAAAAATAAATTATGGAATAGAATTGATCCCAGAAAATTAGAATAATATATACATTTAATGTCTTATAGATGGTTAATGAATTTTTGTGTCACTTCAAGAGTTAGATTACTTAATTCTCTCTTTTTAGGTTTTCAGAGTCAAATAATATAAGTGGCCACATGAATTAGTGAGGTCAAATACATTTGGGTTTGGATTCCAATTCTGTTGTGTGATTAATGATAAATACTATCTTAACTATACCTCCTGGCTCCTCCTTTTCTCTCTCTAACTGTAATCACTAATTTCTAGGTTGGAGGTTTATGATCTTGGGTAAATCAGAGAACCACTTTTCTGAGTCTTGTATTTATCCTTTATGAGGAATGTTGTGAATATTGGAAATAGTACAAACTTGCTTAATATGATGCATGGTAGCTATTTTAACTTTATTATAACAAGAGAAAATTTTTCTTTAATTCTCTCAAAATTTTGAAATGAGTGAGAAAAAAAAGACTATGGATTATCCACCATCTGTGTACAGGCATGGAGGAATTCTGATCTGTGGTTAGTTGGTAAATATAGTTAAAGAGAGGAAAGGAAAACCAAGGAGGGATATCTAAGGTACTATTTGCTGTTAAAAATGCAATGCAAATTTCTCTGTCTGAAATTTCTTCAATGTATTGTAAGCTTTCTCTCCAATTAATCTTCAGTTATTAAAAAAATAAACTTTGAATAAACACCAGACTTAAAAGCAAGGTCCTTTCTTCTTAAGCCTTGTTTCTCATATGAAAATTACATTTCTTCCTTGGGTTATGATTGAAATTTTGTGACTGAAACATTCATCAAAAATAACATGAGACACTGTTTATTTCTGTAATTACATACCTATTTTTTTTTTTTTAGAAATACACATGAGAGTTTGTCAGAGTTGACAAATAAAGGCCATCTCTCCATAGACAGAGAGAGGCCCCTATCTGTATTACAAAATAAGTCTTCTATTGTCCACCATAGTATGAAAACTGAATTATTGAATTTAATTTTAAGGATGTCTAAAAGGAGTATTGAGTTGATTCCCACACTGGCTTTTACTTAGTTGCCTGGCAGTCATCCCAACACACAGAGAATCAAGAAGCTCTTGAAACCAGTATGATATAGCAGTATGGCACTTTGGCTATGCATCAGATAGACCCAGGCTCAAACTTTGTCTGTGGTATTTTAGCTGTGTGACCTGGAATAGGCCACTTACATGTTTCACTTTTAGATTCCTCATCTGTTAAATGAGAGTAATCAGTAACTTCAAAGGTTGATATGGAGATTAACAAAGAATATAAGCAAAGTACTTACAATGTACACAATATAAAATCAGTTCTCAAAACATTATTATTATATGATAAGCAGAACATGTTCTTGAGAGGGGAAAAGAAGAAGAAAATAGACTAAAAAGTATTGGAGGAAATACTTCAATCCAAATAGGAATATTGAAAATCTAAAAGTCTTTCCATTGAATATAAATGCAATATATGTT